ACTAGTGAAAAAAAGCCCTGACAGCTGCGGTCACGGGAGGTTTCTGTGTTGCTCGCTGGGTGAGAGCGCAGGAGAAGCAGTTGGTTCTGCTCTGCTCCCGGAGCCTACAAGTGAGAGCCAAGCCGATTCAGGGAGAATCGCAGCAGCGCACCTAGGTGGCATAGGCATAGCTTGCTGAACGGCAGTGCCAGAGGCCAGGTGGCCACCGTGGATTCGGATTTCCTATCCACCTGGAATACACTGGGCATGTGTACCGGTGCCCACGATCCTGACGAACCAGAGGGCTGGGGGAAAGGGACTGCTGTGTGTGGGGACCCTGTCAAGGATTCTTGTCTTTCTCCTTTTCTCTTTCTCATTCTCTTTCTTTTTTTCTCTCTCTCACATACTCTCTACCATAAATAAAATAAACTTTAAAACTAATAAAAAATAATCACAGTGGGCCAGCCAGTGGCATCATGGTTAAGGAGGCTGGATTTCACATGGCCAACTGTGTAGTGTGAGTCCCAGACCTGGTGGCTTTAAGAACATGCCAGGCACATGTTGGAGCTTGCCCAGAATCCCAAAAGGAGAGAGGAATGGAGAAGGGACCGTCCCCTATAGGGGAGGTACTTTCTTATACTCCCTTGCTTCCCCCACCCCCAGTCTCTCTCTGGGGAGTACGCATGTGCCCTAGCAAATTTTTTAAAATAATAAATAAAAGCAGCCAGAACCATAACTACTATGAAAATATGCAAAAACCATTTCAATTCTGGGGGGTTGCTTTAGTCCCTTCTGCTTCCAGTTGACACAGATTCAGTAGGTTCGGATGTTTTACGGAATGGATGATACCAGATTGCTTTTCCCCTGTAATTCATTCTCCTGCACTCTAGGGAGCATATTAAAGTTTTCCCTCTCAAACCAGCCCTGAGAGGATTTGCTCACAATTCCAACCCTTTGTGCAAAGGTACAAGTGGGGTGTTTTCCCTTGGCCTGGATGGGAGATGGGACTCCATCAGTGTTATAACAAATGACCATGGACTTAGAACTTCAGGCAAAACTACCTTCCAAGTCTGGAGATGGGAAGTCACAGTCAAGACGTCAGCGGAGCCACATTCCTTCGGGAGCTCTGGGAAGAACTCCCTTTCTAGAGGTTGCCAGCTTCCCTCAGCTTGCAGGCCCTGAAAGCCAGCAGTGCAGCATCTTCAGGTCTCTCTCTAATCTCAGTTCCTGTCATATCTCCATCTCTGACCCTGCTCCCTCCCTCCCATGGGTAAAGACTGTTGTGATCACATTGGACCTGCCAGGATAAACCAGGCTCATCTCATTCCATCAAGACCTGGAATCACACCTGCAGGGTCCCTTCCGCCATGCAAAGTAGGCTTCAAGGCTCTGGGGATTCATCTGTGAGTCCGTCTGAATTCATTCAGCTGTGGCATCTGGAGGCAGAGGCACTCTTCTGTACACCACAAGAATAAGTGCCATTTCCAGACCTCTTCTCTGTTCTCTTCCAAAGACCCTAGCTCTCTAGAAGAGAGTGTCACTTCTACACAGTGAATCGTGTTACCTCAACTCAATGGCTCCAAACTCTGCTGTACATTGGAATCACCTGGAGGGCTTTGACTGTTCCCAGGAATTGGATCACACCTCAGACCAATCAAATTGCAATGTCTGGGGATCACCAACAGGTACCAGCGCTTTTTAAAAATCATTATTTTGCTATAGTGTGTGTGCACTTGCTGGAAAGAGAGAGGAAGAGAGAGACGAACAGAGAAGGAAAGAGGGAGTATCTCCCAGGGAGGATGGCCATGCCACAATCCCTTTTCCTTCATTCTCCTCTCAGGATTTTGGCCACACATATGGATGTGCCTGGCATGTTTTTCAAAATACTGGGTCCAGGACTCAAGCCGCTCAGTTGGCCATGTGGAATCCAGCCACCTTAGCTACCACATTACTGGTTGGCCTGGTGTCAGCACTTTCAGATCCCCAGAGATGACAACATGCAACGTTTGGGAACCACTGCTATGATCCACAAAATGCCCCACACCACTCCCACATCCTTCCAGCAGGGGCAGTGAGCAGGGCTGGCCCCCACCCCAGCTATACCATCTCAAAACTTTCCACGTTCACCCCATCTGGTCTCTGGTCTCCAGTGCTTGCCTCCAGGATCCCCAACCCTTGGAAAACCCCATCCCTGGCCTGTCAAGCTCCTTCCTTATAAAGGCCCACCACGTCCTTTCTTCTGTTCCTCCCACCATCGTCCTATGCTATAATCCTTTCCTTGCAAACACCCTTTGCTCTGCTGCAGGAGCCTGGAAAGCACCAGCCCCCAAACCCTACTACTGTGCCCTGGCCTGCACTAGCAGCTGGACAGTGCTGGGAGAGTCAGCACATTGGGTCCCTAGGTCAGCTAGTCAGCGCTGCCTAATTCCCTAAGGAACTCACCTTCCACTCTGCAAAACGGCTGTTCTTAGGTCTACCACATTAGTCTCGCTCGGTGATGCCCTCAAATCTCTCACCCTGTACGCAGATGGCAGATGTTCTCAAGGCTCCATTTCCTCAGCACACTCGCAACTAGACCCACTGGCTCTGCCTTCTCTTTTGCTTCCCAGGCCATGCCCCATCCAGCCCTTGGTCTTCCCACGTATTTTGTTCTTACAGCTATTCCTTTCACCTCTTTGAATTTTTACCTGAGATTATTACCATGCATAAAACATGTTTTAATATCTCTCTTCTAGGTTTTAAAACTCTAAAAAGTCAAGTCATACAAAGTGTGTTCTTTAACCATGATAAGATTATGTTATAAATCAGTAACAGCAAGATAACTAGAAAATCTGCAAAGACCTAAAAACAAAATGTACTTTTAAATACCCTTGGTCAGAAGGAAAATTAGAGGGCCGGACCTATAGCCTCACGGTTAAGAGAGCCAGATCCCAATTGGCCAACCATGTGGTTTGAATCCCCAGCCCTGGCAGCTTGAAAACCACTCTGAGTGTGTGTGTGCCCCAGGTCCCAACAGGATGGAGAAGTGGAAGAGACAAGACGAGAAATGCAGGACCATGCCCCACTGGTCGGTGCTTTCTCTCCCTGGCTCTTTCTCTGAAGAATGCAAATGCCTGATGGCAAATATCAAAAAAGAAAACTATAAAGTGCTTTGAACTGCATGGAAATGAAAACACAGCATATCGATGTTTGTAGGATAGCACTGAAATAGTACTTGAAGGGAAATGTATACCCCTTACACCTGTATCAGAAGAAAAGAAATGGCTCCAATCAATGACCTCAGCCTCTATAGTAAGAAACGAGAAAAAGTGCACATAGAACCCACAGTAAGCAAAAGGAAAGAAATAAAAATCAGAACAAGAATGTACGATAGAGTGGAAGAAAAAAGAGATCAATGAAACCAAAAGCTAGTGCCTTGAGAAAAAAAATTGAAAAAAATTGCTAAATATCTAGCCAGATAGATCTGGGGAGAATATTTTTTTTTAAAGTCACCAAATATCAGGAGTAAGGAATTAACAATATTAAAAGGATAACAAGGGCAGATTATGAACAACTTTGTGACAATAAAAAACAGCTTAACACATACAATTTTTTTGTTTTTTTGGAGAGATTTTCACTGTAGGGCGCGTGTGCTCGCCAGACAGACAGAGAGAGAGACATAGAGACAGAAAGCGAGAAATCACCCCCCCGGGGGGATGGTCACGCCGCAATCCCTTCTCCTCCATTCTCCTCTCGGGATCTTGGGCACGCACGCGCACGCGCCCGGCGTGAGTTTTAAGCCACCGGGTCCGGGACACGAACCGCGGTCGACTACGTGGGAGTCCAGCAACATAGCCATTACGCTAATTGCTGGTTCCCAAAACATACAATTTTTTGATAGACATGAATTAAGCTTATTCAAGAAATAAAAAGCCAGAATAGCCCTCACAAGTAGGAGCCAGCAGGTGGCATGGAGTTTGGGGCACTGGACCCACATGGCCCACTGAGCCATTGGAGTCCCAGACCGGGCAGCTTGAAAAGCAAGCCAGATGCCCGTGTGGCACCCAGAATCCGGAGGGAGAATGGAAGAGAAGGGATTAAAGTGTGGCCATCTCCCCGGGGGATGATTTTTCACTTTCCCTCTCTGTCTTTCTCTGGCAAGGGCAGGGGCCATATGGGGGAAAAATCTATATATATATCTGTAGCTACAGCTATGGTTACAAAGTACCCTTGGGGGGAAAGCAGAAGATGCTGGTGGAGGCACTGCAGGAGGCCAGAGCAGGTGCCCACCTTCCTGCCCTCAGGTAATGACTCGGCAGAGAAGGCGGATGCAGGGTAACAGAGGCACAGGCAGACCAGCCAGCTCTGCTAGGGAAAAGCTGAGTCACAATGAGATCAGTCCTCCCTAAACCTCAAAGTCACTAATGAAACAGGGATCAAATACTCAAGTTACACTGAGGAAGGTGGGTGGGGTTCTAACTGCGTGCCCACGCCTTGGCACACCTTGGGGAATTTTTCAGTTGGATTTTGGTGGTATGAAATGATACACACACACACACACACACACACACACACACACACACTCCCTGGGGAAACCTAACACAGACACTTTTTAGCACCCACAGGAGTTAGAACATTCCGATAAGGCTTGGCACACTGTAAACGCTTCCTCCCACTTGGGGGCGCCACCGAGACCTGCGGAGCGAGGTGGCCTGCCCACACCTGTGCCATCTATTCACCGGCTATCTGCTCTCTGGTTCTCTCTCTCTGAGTCTCTCATGCAAGCAGTTCTACGTCCAGAGAAGCGGTGTGTCTAAGTAACTTCGCTGCATCTTAGAATAAAAGCAAACTCGCATTTTGCAGTGGACGATAGGCTTGTGCCCAAGAAAATTACTCAGCACTTATTTTTCTCCCTCTGGGGCTCTCCCAGAATTGTGTCTTCAGTGCAAGTGCCACACACCCACAGCCCCCTACTGTCCCGTCACAGTTCGGCTTTGTCGGGAAAAGCAGCTCATCTCTCAGACCACCGCTCGGCCCAGAGCTTGGAGCAGAAAGGGCGCAGCACAGGGAGGGGCGGCCCCGAGTCAGGGCGTTGCGAAACGTCTGCGGACAGCCCCTCCTCGGAGGGGAGGGACCGAGGCCAGGGCGTCGCAGCACTGGATCCCAGAACTTAGTATTGCGCTGCTGCTCCGACTCTGGCTGGGCTACCCTGTTGGCCTCCTGCGCTCCTCAGCTGGGTCCCCTAGACACGCAGGTGTCCCGCGCGCCTTTCCAGCCATGTCGTCCTGCAGCCGCGTGGCGCTGGTGACTGGGGCCAACAAGGGCATCGGCTTCGCTATCGCACGCGAGCTGTGCCGGCAGTTCTCGGGGGACGTGGTGCTCACCGCGCGGGACGCCGCGCGGGGCCGGGAGGCGGTGCAGCAGCTGCAGGCAGAGGGACTGAGCCCGCGCTTCCACCAGCTGGACATCGACGATATCCAGAGCATCCGCACCCTGCGCGACTTCCTGCGCAGGGAGTACGGGGGGCTCAACGTGCTGGTCAACAACGCGGGCATCGCTTTCAAAGGTAGGTGTGGGGCTCGGGATCCCTGGGGAACTCCGAGGGTGCGGGGCAGCGAGCCACTGGCTCCCTCACCCATTCCCTGGAATGATCCGGAGGGAAGCGCCTGTCACTCAGCATGCGCCCAACCCTTGCCTCCGAAGCGGGGTTCTCGCTCTCCTAGGCTCGCTGAGCACCTGGCAGGCACTGACGCCCGACCCAGGGCGCCCCGCCCGCCCGCCGGCCTGTGCGGGCCTGTGCGCTGCCCAAGGCCCTCCCGGAACTGTCAGCTGCTTTGGTTTGCAAGAAAACCGGCCTCTTGGGAGGGGGGCACGCCCTGCTAAATTCATCAGCTTTCTGTCCAATTCAAGACACGTTTTCTCTGCGAAGGGTCTCCAAGCTCTCCCGGCTTTCACTTTCCTTGAAAGGGCGCATTCACAGATGCCAAGAGGCATCCGAGCCAGACAGGAAATGGGACGCTGAGCCACGGTTAGCGCTCACTTGCACATTAGTGGACTTCATGTTTTGTTTAATAGAGAGCTTTGATAGGCTCTGGCAAAAAAGGAAGCGAGCCTCGTTCCCTCCCCTAGGAGGCTATGCTTGTTATCAACCAAGTAAGTGTGGCTCTAGGAAGCATCTTCCCTGCGGGGTATGGATGAGGGACATCAAGGAGGTTACTGTTAGAACTACTACTCCTTTGAGAAAGCTATGGAGCCGCCACTACGAAATAAACAAGCCAGCGTCACTTACATACCTACTACTGACAAAAGACAAAGGGAGTAAAAGGAACGATTGTGAAGTCTCCATTCCTTTGACCCTGGGCACTCACTGTAGCTGGGGCGGGAACCCAAGGCTTCCACCTACACCTGTAGGTGAGGGCTTTCTGGGAGCTACAGCAAGGGATCCAGGCTTCTGGAGTAGTCTTTGGCTCTTGCCCAGAGATGCGTGGTTAAATAACCAGCTCCCCCAAGGACAGGCTGAAGGACCTAGCATTTGCTGGAACCCCTTGCCCCTCAAAGCGTGGATCATGGACCAGCAGCACTTACAAATCTGGGCACTTAGTGACAGCGACAGTGATTCAGAATCTCAGACTTCACCCCATCTGCTGAGTCAACATCAGCAATTTAACAGAATCCCCAAGTTAGATCCTCTGCTCATTCTGGTTTAAGAAGCAGCGATCAAAGTCAGGTGCACTCGGAGAGTGACTGGATGCCCAGGAGCTGGAGCTTGACCTGGGAAGCCCTAGAAACGCAGACCTGCAGCATCAGCCCAGATCTTCTCCATCAGAAACTCATGGGGGGGGCGGGAGGTGTTTTAATAGGCCCTGCACTGCACGTGAATCGGATGCACAGTAAAGTCTGAGAACCACCCAACTTTGGTTTAAACGTCGTTTTCAAGATGGCTTGCTCTTCACTTAAGTGTTGTACAATAGGGTTCACTTCGTCATCTGAGTTTCAGGGGAAATATATGACTTTCTCTTTGTTTCCTTTTCTTTTTGAAAGTCAATGATCCGACGCCCTTTGATATTCAAGCTGAAATGACACTGAAGACGAATTTTTTTGCCACTAGAAATGTCTGCACAGAATTGCTGCCAATAATGAAGCCTCATGGTAAGCACAGAATGTGGACTGTCAAGGTGCAGCCCTCAGCAAAAGGGACCCACAGACCTCTGACCAGGGCTGGCCCGCAGGAATCACCCCAGAGTGCCATTTCTCTGTAGGGGGACAAACAAAACTGCCTCGTTTTTCCATAGTGTCTGGTGTCACACACTTAAACATTTTAGCTGCAGTTTCCACAGATATGTGTGGTTTGTCATGACACTCTTCAGAGCCTTGTGCTCAGCTCTAGACTAAGCGGCTGTTACAAGTTCCCAGAGGCCTTTGCCTCGGACCATTCTCAGAGAGTCCTTCAATGTTATGTTCTAGCATTACAACTTCCCCTGTGTCCCTTTTTCCTTGCACCAAACTTTGTCGAAATGATTCAGAAAATCTGCCAAAAATTTTCCCCACCGGAAATATCTGGCACACACCTCCACGTGTTAGCTAAATAATAGTATTACTGTAACCATGAGAATTTATAGCGTGTCTACTACAGCCTAGCCAGTATGCTGAGTGCCGGGGATGCAGCGGGGAGCATTGTAGATGGGAACCACCCCGTCGGAGGAGGAGCTCAGAGTCTAATCAGGAAAATAGTCAGGAGCTCAGAGTCTAATCAGGAAAATAGTCATTAACAATAAACGGGAAGTGGAGAGTGACATCCTTGCTGGGAGAGGGGGAGGGAAGATTGCTGCCTGGAGGACTTCCTCTTCCCAAGAAGTGAATTAGGATCCTTTGAAGACTCTGTGGCTCTTATTAAAAATGTTTCTTTCTTAATTTACGATTTTGAATAAGTATGCATACTTTTTTCAATCTTACAAAGTGGATGGTGAGAGTTGCCTTTGCACTCTGGCCCCTCATTTGCTCAGCTCCCAGCACAGGTAATCCTCTTTATTGATCTCCTATTGGATGGGACTGTAGAATGCCTGCAGCTGGAGGGTCAGCCCTGTGGCTTATAAGGGAGCCAGACTCCACATGGCCAACACAGGAATGCTGGTCCTGGCCGATGTGAAAACATGCCAGGTACATTCGCATGTGTGTCCAGAATCCTGACAGGATGGAGAGATGGGGAGGAGGGATTGCAGTGTGTCTACACATCATTGGGAGTGCTTCCTCCCTCTGTCTTCTCTCTCCTTTAGGAGCATTTATGCCCTCACAGTGAAAAAAAAAAAAAAATCCAAAAAAAACCCTGCAGCTGGAATTGCAGGTGCTGGTAGAAGGAAGCGTTGGGTCCAGGTACACAGAGTTAATGAGTGCTCAAGGCCAAGGGAATGGAGTTATTACATGCCAATCTAAGCAAACAGAAATGTATATTTATTTTATCCTTTTTATATAAAAGTGACATTTAGTATAATGCTTACCACCTTACTTTTTTCACTTCCTGTAGCTGGGACTCTTTCCAGACTAGGACAGAAAGTTTTTGTATTCTTTTTTATGGTTACAAAGTATTTTATTGTAGGAATGTCTTTCCCCAAGTATCAGGAAACTTCTCTCTGATGAATTTTACCATCACAGAATCTGAGTGCTGAGATACTGAGGAAACCTTATGTGCTACACCACTTTACAGAAAGGAGAATTGAGACCCAAAGAAGTGAACACAGACAGGTAGTAATAGAGCTGGAAACAGGTTTCTCGGCCTCACCACTCAATCATATTAGGATAATTTGTCCTCGCAAAGGAAGAGTGATAGCATCAAATGGTTGTAAACCAAGCTCCAGAGAGCTGGCGCTCGGGAATTAACCCAGAGCCGGTGAGTCACTGACTTTGACCAGTTCCCGGTAACACCACTTCCCATAGCCAGAATCTCTGGTTTATAACACATTAAGAATATTCCTGACTCTTCTAAAAACCTCATGTTTACCTGGGGAGCAAAAGGAGCATCATTGCCTCTCGATTTGTAGGGAATTACTTTCTCACAGGAGACTAATTTAAAAGCTACTTACCCTACTTAACATTAACTTAACACTTTAAATGAAGTTATTTGGGGACCAGGAGGTGGTGGGCCGGTTAAGGCATTGGATCCCATGCGGCCAACTCTGCAGTTGGAGCGCTGGACACAGCGGCTTGAAAATAACACCAGGAGTGTGTGCAAGTTTGCCCCAAAATCCTGAAGAGAGACTGGAGGAGAAGGGACTATGGCATGGCCATCCCCCCGGGAGTGATTTCTCACTTTCCCATTCTCTCTCTCTCTCTTTCTCTCTCTGCCTTTGTCTCTGTTTCTCTCTGGCAAGTCAACACACCTATGGCAAAACTCTAAAAAAAGAAAGTCGTTTAGGGTGTGCTTGTTAGTTCAAGACTCTGAGTAAAGAGATTTAGCAACTGTTGAGCCAGTAGGGGGAGCTCCTAGCCCATTCTTCTTGGACGAGGCAGCTGTTTTAGGCCCCAAGTCCCTGGAACCCAGCAGAGTACACTTGGGCTGATTGGACCCATCTGTTTGGCAAAGCTGAGCATGTGTCACCCCCTGCCCTCTCTCCCAGAAGTGTACCCTCAATCGAAGAGGACACCTCCTCTCCTTAGCAGAATTTGCATTTCCTTAAAGGCACACAGTAGCTTCTGTAATCTGTCTCCTTTCTTCTTCTCCTTTTAAAGTTTGGTTTCTTGTAGCAGCCACGTGGTTGAGAACAAAGCCAATCTAGAAAGCAATGAAAAGCACAGTACCACCAATGTAGCATTCCTGGCCAGAGTATTGGAGTGAGTCCAGGTATGAGAAAATCAGACCAATCCAAATTGGGGAAGATATCAAAAAGTGATAATAGAAAATTCACAAATTGTGAATACAATTTTAAAAAATCATGTAAAATTTAATTTAGGGTCTTGGGACCAGCAGTTAGTGTAATGGCTGTCGCTGGACTCCCATGTAGTCGACCGCGGTTCGCATCCCAGACCCGGTGGCTTAAAACTCACTCCAGGCACGTGTGCGTGCGTGCCCAAGATCCCGAGAGGAGAACAGAGGAGAAGGGATTGTGGCATGGCCATCCTCCCTGGGGGGTGGCTTCTCGCTTTCTGTCTCTTTCTGTCTCTCTCTGTCTGGCAAGCACACGTGCCCCATAGCAAAAACCTCTCCAAATAAAGAAAAAAAAATGTAAAATTTAATTTAGGGTCTTCAAAAAAGGCCATTTTCTCATTATTCTAGATTAAAATGGACTATAGGGATATGACAATTAAATGCAATCCAGGATCCCACATTGACCCCTAAGTTAAGACAAAAACAACTGTAAAGGACATTACTGGGACAATGGGTAAAATTCAAACGGGAATGATACCGTAGATAATAGTGTTGGGCAGTGAAAATGTCTCCTGTGATCACAACTGTGGGGATATCAGGGGGTAATGCCTTTGTTTACCAGAGGTGAGAGTGCTGCAAAAAGTTTGTGGAAAAATGGATGAAAGTCCAAGTTTGTTTTAGTGCAAAAAATCTTGAAATCATGCATAATTTCTTCATAGTATGCATTTTCCCATGAACCTTTGAGAGACCACACATATATATTAAAGTCTCTAAGGTGAAGGCTTACAGTTCCTCAAGCCTCCACGTCCAGGACTCACATCATGTAGTCAGCCACGTGGGATCCAGCCTCCAAGCCACCATGCCAGGGGCTGGCTCTGCATTCTTGTTTTTATGGGTACAACTTTTTAGTAGCTGTGACTATCCATGTGACTACTAATTCATATTGATTAGTTTAATGAATATTAATATCTTATTAGGAACTATGGACTAAAAGGTAATGAAGTCAAAAGCAGAATAATCAACCTATTCCATGTGTGGAAGAGCCCATCACTAAGGAGAGACCGGGGTAATTTTTCAGAATTGTTTGACCTGGTTTTGGCTGTCAGGGATAGAGGTAGGCTGTCCATGGGATAGCCAGTTCGCTAACTGCTGGTTCCCTGCATTCTTGTTTTTTTTTTGTTTATTTATTTATTTTTTTTTTCCTGCATTCTTGTTTTTATGGGCACAACTTTTTAGTAGCTGTGACTATCCATTTGACTACTAATTCATATTGATTAGTTTAATGAATATTAATATCTTATTAGGAACTATGGACTAAAAGGTAATGAAGTCAAAAGCAGAATAATCAACCTATTCCATGTGTGGAAGAGCCCATCACTAAGGAGAGACCGGGGTAATTTTTCAGAATTGTTTGACCTGGTTTTGGCTGTCAGGGATAGAGGTAGGCTGTCCATGGGCCTCATAAACCATGCAAGCCTTGGAAATTGAGGGCTTTAATCCTCAGGGTGAGGTCTCCACCTCCTCAGAGAATAGGGTCCAGATGGTGGTGCAGACTTAACACAATCGGACCCACAAGAGAAGGTCCTGGGTTCAGGTTCTAGAACTTCCCTGTACCCACCAGGCAAATGTGTGCATGACCTATTACCCAGGCTGGCTGGAGGTGGATTGTGATGTGCAGACCCGCTCTCTCTCACTCGCTCTCTGTCATGGAAGAAATAAATAAACTTAAGAAAAGAGGTTCAGAAGCATTGGGGTGTGTATATTGAGGAGGGGTGTTTTATTAAAGTTCAGGTTCTAGAACTTCCCTGTACCCACCAGGCAAATGTGTGCATGACCTATTACCCAGGCTGGCTGGAGGTGGATTGTGATGTGCAGACCTGCTCTCTCTCACTCGCTCTCTGTCATGGAAGAAATAAATAAACTTAAGAAGAAAAGAGGTTCAGAAGCATTGGGGTGTGTATATTGAGGAGGGGTGTTTTATTAAACTACCAGGTGACCTCTGGCCTCACCCCACCCTCATAGCGAATCACTGTGGAAGGGAGCCCCATTATGGATGGACATATGTTCTTCCCCTTGGAAGAAAAGAGGTCCGGGGGAAAAAAAGTTGAAATCCACTGCATTAGTATGCCGATTTGTATCTTGTATGCTCACTTTTTATTTTTATCAGCAATTAAACCTCCACCATGACTCAACTATGTGCTTGGTATATTCATTCAATGATTAATTCTTTGTGCCATGCTTCTATATTTTTATTATTCTGTTTCAGGGAGAGTGGTGAATATCAGTAGTTTACAGGGTTCGAAAGCTCTTGAAAACTGCAGTGAAGATCTGCAGGAGAAGTTCCGTTCTGAGACACTCACAGAGGGAGACCTGGTGGACCTCATGAAAAAGTTTGTGGAGGATACAAAAAATGAGGTGCACGAGAGAGAAGGCTGGCCCAATTCAGCTTATGGGGTGTCCAAGCTGGGGGTCACAGTCTTATCAAGAATCCTGGCCCGGCGCCTGGATGAGAAGAGGAAAGCTGACAGGATTCTGCTGAATGCCTGCTGTCCTGGCTGGGTGAAAACAGACATGGCCGGGGATTATGGCACCAGGACTGTGGAGGAGGGAGCTGAGACCCCTGTCTACTTGGCCCTCCTGCCTCCAGATGCTACTGAGCCTCAAGGCCAGCTAGTGCGAGACAAAGTCGTGCAAAACTGGTGAACGTCTATTTTGGAGTTTAATGGTTAATAAATGTTGGTAGAAAGAATGAATGAATTCTGCTGTTGTTTGATTCAGCTTCTGGTTTTCAGAAGGGAGGCCCAGTAGAATCTTCCCAGGGAAAGGTATCTAGTTCCAGAATCTGGAACTGAATGACTTGGCTATACCAAAACCAGCCCGATACAGAAAAGAACTTGGTCTTGAATATTAGCCGGCATCAGGGGCCACGGTCAGGACTGAGTCAGACACTGTTCAGCACGTGGAATCCAGCCTTCTCTTTGTAGCACATAACTGCTGCACTATAGGGCCGTGCCACCTGGAGGGCTGCAGAAACAGATACCTGGTCCCCACTCCTAGAGTTTCCAATTCAGCAGGTCTAGGGTGGGCCCTGAAAATAGGCTTTTCTAAAAAGTTCCCAGGTGGTGCTGGTCCAGCTGGTCCTGGTACGGCACTTTGAGAGCCACTGGTCCAGAGCATGGTCTTTGAGCCTTGGAGTTGGGTTTCAGCCATTTTCTAGCTATTCCTTGCTGTTTCTAGTTTGTTTATTCTGTAAGGATGATGATGTAGCCTATTTCCTTAGCCCTGTGTCTCATTCTGTTTTGTTATATTTGTGTGTGTGTGTGTGTGTGTATAAATAACCTGTGTATATATATATATTTAAAACCTATGTATATAAAGCATATATATATATATATATTCTTATATTTAAGAAGTAGTAGAGCTTAAAGGGCTCAGGAGGAATTCTTCTTTACAGTGACATGATTTCTTCCATATTGGATTTTTCATCGTTCATTCTGCATATTTTCTTTTAGTGATTTTTGCTAATAGGGTATGTGTGTTCGCAGGAGAGACAAAGAGAAACAGAAAGACAGAAAGTGAGAAATCACCCCCCAGGGAGATGGCCATGTCACAATACCTTCTCCCCCAGTCTCCTTTTGGGATTTTGGGCATGCACACACACACACACCAGGCATGAACTTCAAGCCAATGGGTCCAGGATTCAAACCACGGTTGACCACATGGGGGGCCAGTACCTTAACCACTATGCCACCTGTTGGCCCCTCATTGTGCATTTTTTTCCCAGAATGTTTGCGAGGTTGTCCTGCTACCTCTTTCCTGCTTCAGCAACGTTTTCCATACCATCTCTTTGCTTTGACACATACAGATGTCTTCTTCATAACCTGTCCGTACCTTTCTCTGACCTATAGCCCAGGGACATTCTTTAGGTGACTCCATGAGCCCCTTTTATAACCTCTCGAACAACATGTCAACATCCACTGCTTTTAAATGGGATTGGTTTTCAATCAGGCTCCAGGATTTTGATTACACCCTGTAGAAAAAAGACTTGGTGACCAAATGATCTTACGGAAGAGAATAAATATACTTAGAAAGGTTTTCAAGAGATTCAAGACTTCAGAATAAATGGCTCGCCCAACAGCAATAAAAATTCAACAGGTACACAGTGGGAAAATGCAAAGGGGAAAAACTAGGTTTTCCAGAGTTACCAAGTTGATGAAAGGTTGGCAAATGTATGAAAAAGCAATGTTATCCCTTGATTATCAGATCCACAAAGGTCACATCATAGCTCCTACCTCAGAGCTGCAGACATCAAGGATAATACTGTTTTCCCTCAGGGAATCAACAAAGTGTGGAAGTGATCAAAGCTTCATTTATTTGGGAGACCAGGACTAAACAGGGTGACCCTGTTGCTTCTCTGGATTTTTGGTTTACCCTAGGATGCAGGTGTTTATTTTTCTTGACTCTGAGTTTAACTGTCACAACCCTCATCTCACTTTTTCATCTGTTTGGGTGGTGGGAAGTCCGATTCCCACCTAGGCTGCATTCAACTTCCTTCAGTCCATTTCTACACCACTGATGAAATCCAGCATGCTCTCATGTTTATCTCAGGTCATTGCTCCTAAGACATTTCAACAGCTTCTTATTCAATTCTAAACACATTTGAATGACTTTAAACAAGTTTCTTGAATACTCTGGCCTCCCAATGCAGTCAGCCTCCAGCGCCCTGCTAATGACAGGCAAGGGCACTTTGTGCTCTGCCTGACCATGCTGCAGACAGAAGTGC